ATTTGAGATAGATTGCAGAGTGGTGTAATCCCTTACTCGGTATTGGAGGAGACAGGAGTTGTCTGCTGAGCCCTGATTAGTAATAGAACAGCTGTTACTGCTTCTAAAGGACCACACGCTGACCTCACCATGATGACCATGCATTGCATCAGTGTTCACTATAGAATATACAATAATTGGCTAAATCAGGATAAGAAAATGCTCCATTCGAAATGGGCAGCAACTTAGTGTCACAGTGACTGCTTCTGACAATCCAGTTTAGAGGAGAACATGAAAAGCAGAAAAGAGAAGTGCTTGTATGCTAAAGGCAGGACTTAATATTTTCCCATGTCATCTTTTGTAGTGTCCACGTTGGCCACAAATGAATTTTTTCTCCGATAGGTTGAATTTCCCGTGGAAAAATACCATATGCTCAAGATTACTGTAATTCTGGGTTTATTATAGATAGTTTTTCTCTTAATTAAGTTGGACTATAGCTTTTTTTTCCCCACTAGCCTTTTAACAAGGGAACTTCATTTTAAATCTTAATCAAAAGTGCTTTTTGTTCCACATTGCTCCATTTCATAGTGAGGAGGGTGTACTAGATGCGCTTAAGTGTTTACTATTAGGTTTACGTGTGAACTTAACAGTTCTGCTTAGCTGACAAATACTCATTGGGGATTTACTTTGATTTAGACATTTATCGTGAGAACTTCACATTTTCATACTTCTGACACATCCTCGTCCACCCAGTTCCTTCCACTAAGTTTTCATGGAAAACACTCATCTAGCAGTGACTGAGTGTCCCTGGGGGTTAAGATATGCAAACAAACGCTTCCAGGTTTCTGACAGCTCTTCTGTTTTGTCCCTTGATGCAGTTTATCCTCTTTGCACTTGGAACAATGTGGTGAAACTGGCCGGTTTCACCGTCTAAGGTGCAGCATGGTGATACTGCTTTGTTTTATCTGATGATGCCGACAGTTCAAGTGTATTCAGGCTCAAATATTAATACTTGCCTGATTGATTTTAGTGGGGTGGGAGGATGGGTGAGAGCCAAGTGCTTTTCTTGCACATGAGCAGCTTGGCCTTGCAGCTTCTGTGATTCTCTCGATTTGTCTTGGCTGCTTTGAAGAAGCAGAGAAAGGAGGGACAGGAGAGGAGAATTATTGTGTGTGGAAAAAGAGATAGATGGTCAGTGCAAGTTTGTAGTTGATGATGTTTCCCCTTCCTTCTAACAGTGAATTAAAATTCTAGTCTAATAACATTTAACTGGTTAACGACTTCTCTGTTTTAAAAGAGATGGACTTTTTCCTCATCCTGATAAGTTCTTTTTAAAACCAGAAGTAAATTCCTTGGCTTGCCAGGCTGTGCTTTTATTTTGCTCCCAGGTATTACTCAGAGGTTAAAATGGTAAACTTCCTTCTATTTAACTCAGCCCGAGTTGGGTTTTGTGAAAGCAACCTTTTGGATATGGAATACCTGGAGCCTGCGAGTCCTGTGTAGTTGCTTGTATGGCAAGAACTGGCTACCTCTTTTTCTTTAGTGGGGAAAAGATCTCTCTTAATGTCTTTGGGTGAAAGCTGGAGCTTCTTCCTTTCTAGCACTGCATGAAAGTTTCGTTTGTTTAGAGCACAATTCTTAAACTAAAGCAGACAAGTGGTAGTTTCGGTGTGTTTAAAAAAAAAGAATTTGGTGCAGTGGGTAGTACTGAGGTGAGCAGCCTTATGAAAGGAGGCTTGAATTTGTCTCCCTGCCCAGTGCTTCTCTGTCCAGCTCACCCTTGTTCGGGCTTCAGGTTGGCTTAGCTAAAGTATTTAGATTTTAGATGATTATCAGTATCCCCAACTGCGGATAATCTTTACTATCTCTGAAACTTTGTAAACCAGCTTCCCCCATCATCTGGCTCTAGATCTTGCAGAGGAACATAGATGAATGTTTATTGGCAAAGCAGAGAGGTTACAGCCCAGGTGAAAACAAAGGGAGAAGAGTCAACAGGATGTCTGTTGTTTAAAGCATTCTTCCTGTAAACCTTTTTGAACTCCCTCTCTGCTGAAAATTCCTGAGAAGAGCATGCAGTGGTGGATGCTAAAGATCCAGGTATTTTTCTCTCAGTACAACATACTGTACAAAAACATTTGCAGCTTTTCAGTTTACAGACACCCGACCACTCATCCCTGCTGTGTGGCTGAGTGAAACTGCTATTTTCATGCGGAGCGGAAGTGTGATACAGCTTGTACAGCCAGCGCTCAAGAACTAGGGTTTATTTTAGTCTGTACTGATTCTTGATGTGCAACCATGAGCCAGTCTTAAGTGGAAAATACCTGCCTTGCAAAGTGTTTCCTGTGTCTGTTGAACAGCCAGACTCAGTGCTGTGATTGTTGGATGGGACTCGGTGTTTGGAAGGAGACCTCGCTGTCCTGGAGTGTTATCACTGTTAAAGTTTGGTTTTTCATGCTGTGTCTGTGACATCAGCTTGGAAGTACGGTTGCAGTAAAGTAGCACTTTTTTCTTGTTTAGTTGTTTCAGTAAGTGGCTAATCTGAATTTGCACTATTTGAGTTCTGAGATGAAAATACCGATGTTGGAAATCCTGAAAGGTGCTCCAAACTGCCAGTGCTTTGTGAATTCTGCAAGTATTACATGTGCGGCAACTTCAAGAGCAGGTGTCGTGGGTTAGGGCTGGGCCGGCCACTAAACATAACGGATGCTTTCTAACCCCCTCTCCCTCCCCAAATGGGAAGGAAAAGGGAATGAGGCAGAGAGACTTACGGATTGGAAAAAAGAAAACAATAATAAAAGAAAATAAGAAAACAATAAAAGAAAATAATAATAAAAATAGTGAACTACATGCACATATACAAAACCAAGCTGAGAAGTAAAAATCACTGAACAGAACTGGATCTCTTTAGCGCAAACCAAGACATTAGGCTATGAGTTTTGGGGATTTTTTTGGTCATTTTAAAAGACTACCACCACTGGATGTCCGTAAACGTGGCTGGCAGGTTCATGAGCTTCTGATGGATAGCAATTATTCTGTTACTCTGAATGTGTCTTATCCTGCATTCAGATCCCATCATATACTTTTCTGTGACCTGGAATCTGTGGCTTTTCTCACCAGCATTTCATTCAGTACAATGTTCATTACTGCTGCATCTCCTGTGTGTTGCCACCTTATAACTTGCTGCCTCTCAGCAGAAGTCTGGCGATGACAATTCATAGCAAGAGAAGAATTTAAGTTATGAGTCTCATAGAGACTCTTTCTCTTTTAAAAGAAGGGAAATGAGGAAAAGCAGAATTGAAAGTAGAACATTTTATTGTGCCAGGTTAAAAATCTTATTTTAGTAGATAAAAGTATTGATGGTCTAAAATCAATGCTGTGGATAAGTCTAGTCTGGAAAATTGGAGTGGGTCCTGTGAGTTAGCCTTGATACTCAGTTCTAGAGGGGTCTAGTCTTGCAGTGCTGTTCTGTGAGGAGGCAACAACAAGACACTTGTGTGTTTCAGGTGTTTAGCTGTTTGCTACAACACTTGGAAGTCCTGGGTTTCCTCACAAAAGGGGTTCAGCTGCTGACTTGTCAAAGGAATTTTGTCTTCATTTTGTAACATGTTCCACTTCTTCAGAGGAGCAGTCTGATGCATTGTATACTCCTGCAGAGAGGTCTGAATGCTGCTTGGAGTTGTTTTTTTTTGCTTTTGGAGGGAGGTTTGTTTTATTTCCCTGTTTCTGTGTGTTAGGTACAGTGTATTCTAGAAGCAGAACAAATTGACTTTGGCGTGTTCTGGAGTGATTGTTCTTATGTTCTTTCTTTCCCACAGTTTTTAGCTCTGGCTTTTTTCTTTTTTCAGTTTGTTTGGAAGCAGAAAGCTGCAGAAATCTTACGCAAATAACTCTTCTATGCTTTAGGCGTCCCAGATCATAGATTGAGCTGACTGGAGCCAGGATGCTAAGACTAGTGGAAGAAGATCCTTAAAATTTGTAGTATATATTTGATCCCTTAAATTCATCTTCTGTGCACTGATCTATGAAGTCTGTGAATGTTTGGGTCATTGAATTTAGAGACAGAGACTGCATGGCAAGTACAGATGCTTTGTAGAATGTTTTTTTTGCAGAAAAGCAGCCTGCAAGTCCTCTTAAATCGGTATCGGTTTATGAACAGGCATGGTGCTGTTGGATTGAGGGCCAGAGCAAACCTATTATTCAAAGACCGATGTTAATATAGATGTGCTCAACCTAACTAGCGCTGTCGTTGGATGTAGAACCATCACCTGTCCCTGAAGAATAGTTGTTTAAATCCAGCTTTGACTGTATAAGTTAGATTGTAGTTGGTTAGAGTTGTGGGTTTTCTTTAAGAACTCCAAGGTGATGTGGAACCCATAGAATTAGTAAGTAGGAGGTGAGTTGGAGAATTTTAATGCTCCTGTAATGTCACATTACAGCATACTTGAAAGGAATCTGGGCTTAGTCTTCAGGTGAATGTTTTCAAGGTGTTGCTGTTGTGAATGAGGACGGTGGTGCTCTTACTTTAAAGTTAAGTGGTGTTGTCTGCTTCTGATTTTGAGAAGTGGCAGTTGTCATTTTGTAGGCTGGAGGAATGATGCAAACTGGCTTGATAGGTTTGAGGCTTTTCTTGCTTTTTGATTGCCATCCAGGAAGGGATGCAGCCAAGCTTTTTCTGTAAATACATGCTCCAGTTCCATTAAGTGTCAGCACTTAAATGGACACGTCCTTCGTCTGCGACTTTGGAAAGTCAAGACTAGGTCTGTCAGACTTGGTCCACTGTGTATGTGCTGTCTGTATATCTGAGTGAACTAATCAAAGGGAGATGTTAGATAGTTTGTTGGTAGAGCGCTCCCTAACTTGATGCTTCTGAAAGTAGAGAAATAATGAAACATGGGAAAAATGTAATTTGATTATTCTAGAGTGTGTATAAACTTCGGAATTTTCAAGCAATCTATAGCCATTTGCTTTTGCCATAGTTCCCAGTCATTCATTCTGTTACTTTATGTATTCTTCATCTCTAGATACCTGCTTGAACAAGACTTCCCAGGCATGCGGATAGGTCCAGAGCCTACCACGGATTCTTTTATTGCTGTGATGTACGGTGATTCAGAAGGAAACATTCCTGGAAATGCCCTAGTTGTTGATCCTAAGAAGCCGTTCCGCAAACTCAGCCGCTTTGGAAATGCTTTCCTTAACAGGTGAGTTCTGTTTCACTGATGTCTTGACTTTTATGTTTAAATTTCTATTTGATACTATCTTCAAGCATCAGTGTTCTTTTACTAAGTTTTTTTCTGCTATATTCCATGCTGTGCAAACCAAATCAATATTCAAATACAAGCAGGAGCTGTCACATTTCAAGTGAATTAACAAAAGAAAGCAGTACTAACTAGGGTAGCACTAGCACAGATATATTCAGTTATCTGAACAGAAAATCATTGTTGAAACCAGTTCACAGAAAATTGCTGAAATGTTCCACCAGCTGATTTGTTTGTAAGGCATTATACCAACTGGAACACAGGATTGGTTTGAGCACAAAACTTAGAGAGTAGTATTATTTTTAAAAACTACCATCCAAAACAAAGGAAAAAAAAATTTCCTTAAAAAGGCTTATAAGAATGGAGAATATTTGAATATGCCTTCTGGATAAACACATGCTCAAGCTGTTGTTTTTCATTTTGACTAGCTGGTCTTCAAGCAGTCCCATGGATGAGGATGATAGCATTGCTTCTGGATGGTTGCTGTGTAATTGCGAAAAAGGGAAGATTTATTCAGGGGCTGTGAATGTTGCTTTAGGTAGCCTAAGTAACAGGCTAAATATTTCCAGTTAAAAGTATTAATAGCTTTATTTGAATTGTGTGAGCAATCACCTTGTTTTCTTCCTGTATTTGATGGTAACTTGACATGGAGGCCAGACTTTGTAAGCCAAGTAATCTAAATTAGTTCTTTTTTAACAATAAACTTTCCTGTTTGGCTGATAAACTGGCATATGTGTTAAAAGTTCATCATAGAGGGTCTTATCACTTGCTGTGGTTATTCACAGAAGAAAGTTTATAGCTGTTTGTAGTCAGTTTGGCTATCGCTTTGCTGAAAGATAAAAGAGTATGTCCTGTGGGAAGCTGCAGTCAAGTCCCATTTTAAATAGCATTTTGTGGTCCAAGACCCCTTTCTGTGGGATCACTGTTTGCTTTCTCTCTTTCCCCACCATTGTACTCTCTATGAAAAGTTAATATAATTATACTATAAATAGTATTCGGTACAACATTCAAATATTTACGCAGAACATGTAATAACACTGTGGGTTTGTCTGGATGAGCAGTAAACACACAATTTTTTGGCTAAATCATCTATCTAGCTAATTTTGTCAGGTCCTGAATCTCTAGCAAGCAAGATCTTATGCTAGCTGAAAAGATGTACATGCAGAGTATCCGACTGAACTATTCTGGTTCTTTTGGTGCCTGTGCTAGTGTTGTGTAGCAGTGCTGTGAGCACCCTTACCTTCCCCAATGATCATGTTTGCTCTTTAGTTTTGCAGGAGAGATGTAGGTGCTTATATTTCCCATCACTCTTGGTCTATCCCTCTGATAATTTTCCTGTATTTTCAACACTCCTCTCTCCGTCCTACTTCACCTAGTTGAAAATGGCTCTGGCTTCAGTATCTTTAGCTTCCCCCTGTTCTTACCTGCAGTTGTACTGCATAATTTACTCTGCCTTCTCCCGTTTGCTGTGCTGACAATCCTTTATAGCCAATATTACGTTTCTTTGCTCCTGTCTCAATAGGTTTTTCTCTGCTCCCTCCTGCTTGCCTCCACTTAATTTTAAAAAGAAAATAAAAAAAACAAAACAAGATTTCGCAATCTAGCGTTTTGCTTCATGGAAGAATTTAAGGCTATGGACACTTAGACTGCCCTTCTCATCTAATTGTAACATGAAAGGAAGCAGTGAGGTAATGGAGAAACTAAAACCAAACAAGAACAATGTGCACAATCAAGGCTTACAAATAAGCTGCATTAATTTATTGATGTTACCTTCTTTTTTTTTTTTTCCATGACCCCTTCTTATTTCCTGTGGTTTTTTTTCCCTCTCTCTCACTGCTTGTGATAGGTATCTCTGGAAGGCTCCTGAGTGTAGAAACTTGACTTTTTTTGTTGTCCTTTTTTTGTATTCTTTTAAGGAAAGTTCATGGGGAAGGGGATGCCCTTAGATGCTGGTTAAAGTGAGGAAATAATATTGCAGTATGCCAGAAAGTAATGGAAATAAATTGACACTGCTGAGAAGAAACACCTGCTCTATTCTGATAGATATCTGAATGGGCACAAAAAGGAGTATAAATTCTTGCTAGATTCTTTGAGTCATCCAAAGTTAATCTAAAAAAAATTAAAAAGTCAACAGATGACTACAAAGTTGTTGACTGCATGTTTGCAAACAACATAACGTATTTTTGCAAGGATAGTCTAACGCTGCTGGTTTTCTTTAACAGTAGTTTTATAATAATACAATAAACATGACAGTATCAAAAGTCTAATGTGTCATAAACAGTCATTCACAATATTTATATAAAGCTTTTTTTGTGAAGGCCTGTTGTCATTAAGATAGATGGCATGTAGGTTGACTTTTTAGGATGCAGAACTTAAAAATCATGCTTCGTATAGGTCACATAAGGCACAGTTGTTCAGAGCCAAATCTTAGTGTCAAAAAGAGATATTCAGATACAGTTAGACTTACAATTCTAAGTTGCCTGAAATATTAATTTCATGTAAAATTTTTAACCCTTCTGTTGTCTTTAGGTTATGGATGTGTTCTAAAAGCTACAGCCGGTAAATTCTGAGTTTATCCTTCTATTTTGTATCCTTTTCCTATATGTTTTCTTCCTGCCTTTGCACTAATGACTGCTGTGGAGATTGCAAGGTCTTTGGTCCTCTGAGGCCTGTGGTTCTCTTTTCTTGCACGGCATTTTCCACTTGTCCCAGTCTTGGTGATCCTGGAGTCAAAATACTACTGGATTGTTCAGCTAAATAATGGTACCTGTTGTCTTGTAAGATAAGCCTAGAAACATCTCGGTGATACTAAACAATGCTGGGCTTTCTAAAGTGATTTGAAAAATAAAAATCAGTCTTTATAACATTCCAAATGTGTGAAAGTTACTTCATGTTGTACGTGGTAGTTCCAGGGAGGGGGGTAGCTGATGCTGCTATTTCTGTTGCACACAAGAAGGGATGCTCTGTGCTTTTTGTTACAGACTCATTACTACAAGGTCACCTGAAAACCAAGGCGAAGCAAGGTTTAAGGATTTTTTTTTAATTATTATTCCTGATTTCCTTTGAATCATCTGCATTGTTATTTACACAACAACAGTTTCAAAATATCGATATGTCTTATGTTTTGTAGCTGATATTTGACTGCCTCAACTCTTCCTAACTCAGATTATCTTTGATCTCGGAGTTCTTGTTTGACTTTGACATGGTTAAAATTTGCTGTCCGAGATGCTTGAGGCAGTGTCCCTTCTAAAGCGATGGAGGAGAGTGAGTTACACTGTGTGCATGTTTGGTCTTCAGTTGCTACCAGATAAGAAGATTAAACTCTTATGCAAATCTCTGAAAGGCAGTTTATGATGAAGGGAGGTGAAGTGAATTGTCCGAGGAGCATCGGAGTAGCTTGGATTTAACACACAAAACGTACTGTACCGCTCTCCGGGGGCCTCATGAATTATTTATTTTTTCGTAATACCACCGTTGAATTCATCTCCTGTCGCAGAGGCAGGAGGTTATTGTTTAGAGCCTGCTGGGTGTAATTTGCACTCTTAGTTCTGGCAGAGTGAAAGCTTTTGCTCGGTTTGTAGGAGAAATGCTGTTGTTTTCAGTCCTGAGGGGTGAGACAGGAACCATTAAAACACAGCTGGAGCAGGTGAGATGGTGACTCGCCAGCGAGCAGAATATAAACGTATGGCCAATATGTCTTTCTGCCTGCTTCCCTTTTCCTTTGAGTCTCCTTGAGTTTAGGCAGAAACTAAAGTGCACGAAGAATTGTTTCTCGTGTATACTAATTTCAGTCCTAGCAAAGTGTTTGTTTTATGCAGGTTTTTTGATGTTGCCTATATGGCCCATGCTAGCTGTTGCAAAATTTGGAACTTTATTAATGTTGAGACATACGGTTTCGCAAGATTTTCCGGTGTGGTGGTACAAATTTTTTTAAGAGAAGCTCTCCGTTTGCATTTGTTTTCTTAAACATGTATGGTTGTCAAACATGAGGGTTCGCTAGGACTTCAAAAACCTTTGTTTTAAATCTCATTTGAGTCTTTCTAACAGCAGATACATAAAGGGGGAAGCGCTCAAGGGACAATCCACATGTGATCTAGAGCTACTGTTAATGTGGGGGTTTTTTTTCTCCTCCTTTCTTGCAGATTCATGTGTTCCCAGTTACCTAACCAGGTACTGAAGAGCATCAGTATCATCGACAGCCCTGGCATCCTCTCTGGAGAGAAGCAGCGAATCAGCAGAGGTGAGATGCAACAGCTTGAGAATAACCAAGCTCCCAATTTTTGCTATACTGGATGAGTAGTCATCCTAATGTCTTGGGTGCCTGTTTCAGTGGTATTGAGTGTTGGTGGGTCCTCAAGTTTCTCACTACAAGGCTTATTAAACCCATCTTTTAAGGCTGGATGTAGGGTTTGGATCTTTTTTTCTCTTGAAAAGTGGTGGGGTTGGGGTTTCTGTCATCCTGCCATTATGGCTGCAGATGGCTATGGTCGTGTATTCCATTGACTAATTAGTGCTTTCATAGTCCTGAGAAAAAAAACTTATTTCCAGCATTTTAGTTGCTTTCCACAAAGTTAGGATGAATGGACTCTTGTATGTACTATTGAAGTTCATGAATGAAGAAATGTTTCATAACAGCTGTAGATCTTCAAGCTGATTGTGTTTAAAAACTGAGGAGTTGGGCTGTACGTAAGATGCTTTTGTTGTAGGCTCAGCTGCTGGTGTTGCTTCTTAAAATTGCTCAGTTGTGCCATAATGTAATTTTCAGTCAAAAGAATTAAGGTAGGAGGAGGAAGAGGGAATTGGAGCATTTTTAATAAAAATTACTCTAAGAATCAAACCTTAGTTTTAACAGGCTGTTGAAAAAATTGGCTTGTCTTTGAGAAACTCTTAATACAGTGTAATGTAAATAACTTTTTTCCTTGGTTCCTCCAGGTGCATTTAAGTACCTGTCAGATTTCTGTGGCTACAAATAGTAGTGATCCAGTGTGTGGCTTATGCTGCCCTCTGTTTACAAATTGTTTGAGTCTCAGTTTATACAAAATCTCATAAAATCAAAGATGGTCTTAAGTGTCCTACTTCTGCTTCTTAAGCTTTTGGTTTCTATACCTCTCTTTAAATTGTTTTTCTTATCACTCTTGCTGCTGTATTTGGAATAATATGTATGAGTGAGATTTTTCATAGTTCATTAATGGAATTTAACATCTAATAACACCTGAAAAGTGTTCTAGATGCTTTCTGTTCTGCACATTACTGGGTTCTGTTCCTATCCAAGTCTTTACCTTTCTGTAAGTTTAACTTGTGTCTAACATTGGTGAGCAACAACTTTCCTTATCGGTGATATTTTAATGTGTGTGATGAAAGAATAACATTATGGGACCTCAGTGTAAAACCTTCACTTTACTATTGGTATTTTTTCCCATTGTGCCCTGAGCAACTGCTTAACTGTTTACCTATGAATGGATGTGACACCCGATTAGCTCAGTTGGTTAGAGCGTGGTGCTGATAACACCAAGGTTGCGGGTTCGATCCCCGTTCAGTCCCCATGTGTTGCCTGATCTAGCTGAGAGACGTCCCGGCCCACAACAGGGAGATTGGATTAGATGATCTCTAAGGTCCCTCCCAGCCTAGGCCATTCTAGGATTCTGTGATAGGACTCCGACAGAATGATAGAATTTGACAGGTACCCACTAGGAGCAAGTTGAAGCCTTCTGAGACCAACAAAACAACCAAATGTTAACTTCCAGTTTTAAAATGCAGGAAAACAGTAGAGGGACTATGTAAAAATACAGGATATGCACTACTTCCCAGCATATTTTATAAATAACTCTGGAAAGCCTCCAGGCCGTGGATGAAGGAGCCGATCACTTTCTGAAGGGTCAAAAATACGCATGGAGTGCAACATTCAAAACTGTCTTTCTTGACACACCTTTCCCGCTCCTGTTGTTCGTGGAAGGATGTCCCAGGAGTTTCCTGCCTGTTGGTTCGAGAGGTGCGTAAGTGGCTGGAGGAGAATGTGGAGCTGTGTGCCAGCATTGTCCCTGGGCAGACAGTGCCCATCCCCGTGAGGCTTCTGGGGCATCACTGGTGACGTTCGCAAAACCTGTGTCAGACAGAAATGTCCGTACAGTCTGGAAGGAACAATGAGCGTAAGGAGAGGAGGAAGGAGAAGCAATGCCTGGCAGGGTGTGGGGAGGAACTGCTTTTAGAAAGGGGCGGAGGTTGCTTCACGGCTGCATGGCGTAAAGGCAAGGGCTTCCAGGAGTATGGGGAAGGAGTTCAGAGGAAACCAGAGGATGTTGGTTAGCTTGCAGTTTGGAGCTGGAGTTGCTTAAATACAGATAACTCTCAGTTGGATCTGGCTTGCAAAAATGTAGTCATGGATGAGGTACAGTGACGTAAATAGTTGCAGCGTTGTGTCAGGCTTTCCCTTGCAGGGAGACACTTTACATTCTCTTTAGGATTAGCCCACCGACAGGAGTGCGGCAAGGGTGTTATCTGGGAGTGCTGGGTTGAGATGGGCTTTCATTAACACAACTGGAGACTCCCACCCCAGGCAGCAAAAAGCACATCCATGTGGCACTGAGCTCTGTTTGAAAGACTTGGTAAGGTTTAGATGCTCATCTGTGACAAAATGTGAGCGGACTGAGGACAGGGAAAGGCTGCTCTTGGCCTGCTCCTTGGTTTGCATCGCTCTTGGACAGTGCTGGCAGGTGGGATGGCTCCAGCACTGCCCACCCCTGATTCATCTGGTAAGTGGGTGCTGTTCCCTGAGCTTGGAGGCTCCTCATCGCAGCGTTTGTCTGAGAGGTGCCTCTCTTCTGCTGTTCTTGTAGCACCAGCCCCAGGGCTGGAAGAACCGGCCACTCGGCCTGCCAGAGGATAGGGTGGAGCCCATCAGGCCTCTCTGATTGTTTTCTGAATTGTGAAAGCTTTGGGAGACGGTATTAGGGCAAGTCTGAAATTATTTACCTTGGGCTTGCTGTTCCTTTAAATCTTTATGACTAACTGGCACAGAAAATGGACTGATGCTCGTGCAGCACGACTGCATGGTGGCTGTCAGGGATGGGGCTGGTGCTTTCCCCTGTGCTAATGACACAGGAGAGCTCATGATCATTCCCCTCATCAGCGTTTCCAGGGCTGATAACCACGTGCGGTTTCTCTCCAGCTTTTCCATCTCTTCTGCATTGTTCCGTTTTGTTCTCCTCTGCGGTCTCCGCTCAGCCCGTTACTGATGCCCAATCGTTAGGTCTCTGTCAGAGGCACCAGCTTGCTTCTTCCCTGCAGCTTGGAATGAGCTCATAGCTCTGCTTTACTTCTGGTGGATCACTGCTTCCCTCTGCCCCTTGACTGGGTACAAGGGTGACTTGTGACTTTCTAATATGCGTTTTCAGGTAGATGTTGTACCTGATGAGACACAGGCTGGCTATAATTGCTGACGTCAGTCATCAGGAACAAACCTTGAAGAAAGAACGGGCAGTAGAGCAGCAAGAGGCTGAGAAGTATAGACGCCAAGTTGGGCTTTTTGGTCAGGTTTTCCAAACCATTCAGCACTGACCTGGTGCTGCTTAACTTTCAAAGCCCTGACCCACACCCATGTACTGTATGTGACAGGATCTGAACTGCGTTGTGTCGCATTGAACCGTGCATCACTTCTCTGTAGGTCAGATAGATTCTAATGTGTAACCACTGAACCTCTGTATAAAATACATTCACTTCTAGTGACATTTTCATTAAAATGCATGGATTTTCTTCAGTTTATTTTATGAGGTCTTTTACTCATTTTCAACAAACAGACTTTCTCAAAGCAAATGCTTCATTGGTAATTAATTCATGTTAAAAATAATTTTTTTGCTTATTAACTTGACTGCACAATTTTTTTACACTAAAAATCCATGAAGTATGTCTTGGTAATTTATATATTTAACCATCCGTGTAAGTTACCTTCTTATACATCCATTTATGGAAAACTTAATAGAATTTGATTTGCTTAATTTTGCAGCTTTATCTATTTCATTTGAAGCATATTTCCTTCTACAGGAATGAAACTGGAACATATTATTGTTTGGCTGAGGTTTGCGCATTGTTGCAACTATGTTGTGAATTGCAAGTGATAGACAAAATCTTACTTCTCCCTTTCTTTCCTGCTAAAGTTTTATAAACATAAATTATTCATACTGGGTTTGATTAGATTGTTAGTGTAAAGTGAGAAGAGTTCTCTTTCGACTGTGTTTTGTGCAGCTTTCCTCCTTGCCCCCACTTTTTGTTCCATATTTGGCCCTTGAGGAGCTGGTCACAGGAAAGAACATATGAAAGCACCAGAGCAGCTTTATCCAGAGAAGGGACAGATTTTGCATTCCTTACAGAGTAATCCTTTTAATGGGAAAGATTGTTACCCCCTTTTTTTTTTTTTTTTTTTTTTTTTGTCTAGCCAGGTAATGAGTCTGACCTACATCCTTTTGGATGTTTTTCACATGTCACTCTCCTTTCAGTTTGATGTGGCCGTGCTGGATTTTTAGGGAAGTTCAATGATCTCTCTTTTGAGATGGTGGGAGGATGAGGAAGATGTGTCACTGCTGGCATTTTCTTACTATTAACTAGAATTTCTAGATTTCATTTCATATGCTATTTGTGACTTTTAAACAAAAGATGTAAGACTGAGTTCTTTCTTGTGTTGCTAAACATGCACAAATACATGCCCTGACAAACCTGCAGTTCACTATTTTTTCCTATTATTTTCTTGTGTGTGCTTGTCTTGATGTTGGCCTTTGACTCTACCTGGTGCTCTCAAACCAGGACAACTGGAAAGCAAAAAAAATAATTGATTTGTTTTCGAGTTCCCTGTTATTAAATACTTGAAGTTACAATGAGTAATGACTTGACTGAACTAGCATTAAGGAAAGCTAAGTGACTTCACAGTTTCCCTGTACCCTCTTTCTTTACTGTTTAAAAGACACAAGGGAGGATGAGGAGTGGTGAAGAGTGTTTTGCTTGTGTCTTGGCCAGATATATGAAGTGTTTGAATAATTGGCTCATGTATGAGTAATCTAAGTGGGTTTTTCTTTGCTGGAGGATTGGGAGTTTAAAGGCTTACCTTGCACAACTGAGAAATGACCAAAGACACACTGGAGGGCTCAGTGGGTGGTAACTGAGCCGTCTTTGCTGTTGATACGCAAATATAGGCTGCTGGGAACAAAACTCTTGATTCTGGGTTACTTTGCATCGTTTCTGCATTTTGACTCCTCCCTTTTTAGCTCAATTGTTTCTGAAAGGAAGAGAGGTGGGATGTCAGCTCCCAGCTCATACCTTGCTGTTCCTTCCTCAAACAGAATGAGTCACATCCCCCCCAAGCCTTGTGCCACATCACTAGCGGTGACTCTGTGGATTAAATGTGTCACTTCTAAATAAGGAGCTTCTGAATACTGTTTGTTGTGTGGATTAGGTACCCGCTGCACTTATAAAAGTGTTCAGACAGGTGCTACGAATAGGCTTTCCTTTAGAACATCAAAAAGTTTGTTTCAGGTGACCAGAGAGGTCACTGCTTATGTTCTGTAACTTGTCGTGTCTCCAAAACCATCAGCAACATGGGCGTGTAACTTATAAATCTGAGTCTGCCATGGCAGAAATAACAGCATGTGTTGCAACACAAGGAGAGATGACTTTGGAAATGGTTTTAAAAACGAAATTATTTTGGTTGCTGCCTTAGGCTGGAGTGCTGCACCTGCTCTGTTCGCCTTGGTAATAGAGAGCCCAGTGGTAAGGGGTGGAGAGAGCTTGTGGCAAGAGCCCCACACACCTGCTGAGCTCGGGTGTTTTGCTGAAGCCAGAACTCCTGGGAAAAGGGAAATGTGGGTGCGAGGCAGTAACTCCCAGCAGCGGAAGATAGTGACGTAGGAGGTGGATGGCAAGGCTGAAAGATAAAAACAAAAGTTGGTCATAGTGAGATCGGTGCAGGGAAATGCAGGATACAGTTGTCCTGACCGCATTGTCCACAGACACGCTTTTCCGGGTGGTCCATCTCCTCCTTTGCCTCGCGGTAGATGCTATGATCTCCTTGTTCTCTATCCCCAGCCCTGCTTTCCCTGAGACTTGCTTTTCTGAAACGGTGGGACCGTAACAGTGTGTTCTTCCTCCAGGCTACGACTTCTGCCAAGTCCTCCAGTGGTTTGCTGAGAGGGTCGACCGCATCATCCTCCTTTTTGATGCCCACAAGCTGGATATATCCGATGAGTTTTCAGAGGCTATTAAGTCGTTCCGGGGCCAGGATGACAAGATCCGAGTGGTGCTGAATAAGGCCGACCAAGTGGACACGCAGCAGCTGATGAGGGTCTACGGTGCGCTCATGTGGTCCCTGGGAAAGGTGATCGACACTCCAGAGGTGCTGCGGGTCTACATTGGCTCCTTCTGGGCCCATCCACTCCGAAACACAGAGAATCGAAGACTCTTTGAGGCCGAAGCACAGGATCTTTTCAAGGATATCCAGAGTCTCCCGCAGAAGGCTGCTGTGCGGAAACTTAATGATCTCATTAAGAGGGCAAGACTTGCAAAGGTGAGGAGAGATAAAAACCGTAAATTAATTGTCTTTTCTGTCTGTAAGTGTGTTCTTTCTCTCACCTTTCCTAATCTTTACCAACAAACTGTGTTTTTCAGCTTTTCAAAGCAGAGACAGACACTCAGGATATAGAAGCAAATGGGAGGAAATAGGGATTTGTACTGGGATGCCTCTCTAACTTTAGAGAAGGGATTTGATGCTTTCTAAGCCATTAAAGCTATTGTTTGCTTGGTAAGGGAGTGAATTTTTTTTTAACACTGTGCAGCAAAGTAATCTTCAAGTTACGTTTTGGAGATAAACCACATTTTTGTTTTTAACAATAGCTGATATGTAGAGAGAACTTTAAAAAAAGAAACAGGAGCAAAAAACCACAAACAACTATTCACAGTGCAGCCGTGTGTAACTGTCTACTGTTGAAAACCTGTTTTATTTTTTTGAATTGGTCTCTAGTTGTCTTTGACTGAGACTATGTCATTTAAAGCTTTGTGAATTATCACCAAATCTTGATTAGCTATCTGTAAAACCTTCTGGTTATATTTTACACTAATCTTTCAAAACCTCTGCTTGACAACACAAGCTTTATCTGCCCTTTCTTCCACAGCCTGTCTAGAACAAGATTTGGTCACAGTCTGGAATATTTTTTGCCTGTTTATCTGATTCTACAGTGCATTTATTTTCTTTGTTTCCTTTCCCTCTCGTGCTCTCGTGCTCTCGTGCTCTCGT